CTGCACCATCCGCATCGATCGACTTGCCTTCCAGCCCATCGACCGATAGACATCCTTCCACATCGACCGACAGAACTACACAGAGATCGGTCGATACTACCCCTTCCCGTGTGCAAAACATCCAACACCTCGACACAATGCAGTCGAGTATTGATCTAGAACACACCTACAACAAGATTGGACAACATGAGTTCATCATTGCGAGCATTGAGGAGTGCCTACAGAGAATCCACTATGAGGTCCAAGGGTTGAAAGCTAGTATGATCAGAAGCGAGAAAGCCACAAGAAGCTTCTTAACTTAATGGTTTGAAGAATCACAAGACAAGGAGGATACTTGTTTCCCAACAAGTACCTGAAATTCACCTCACTAGCCACCATACCTCCATAGCCAAGCTAAATGAACTAAGCGCTGAGTGGGAGGCAACCCACTATTAGGTATTTTCTTCTTTAGTTTTAATTTTATTTTTACTTATTACTTTCGTTTTATTTATTTCAGAAGACATGCTATACGATCACTACCCCTATCGACCGATAAGATCCGGTCGACATCGATCGACACAGACCCATCCATGCCGATCGACGAAGGCGAGTCACCATCGATCGATACGAATTCCGGTCAGGTATATCATTCACAATTTTTGATACCAGTTATATATTATTTATTTATGCCCTAACTCCGACTGGTTATCCACTGAGGACAGTTTATGATTTAAGTCTGGGGGAGTGGAGATTACTGATGCTACTTTACCTTTTTGATCTCATTAAATGTTTTCAAAATTAGTTTTATTGAGTCAAGAAGGGGACAAAAAGATTTCAAATTTTTTACTTTCTATCTAACCACTCTTTAGCACCATTCTTAGAATTGTTGATTGCACAAAGTACTATAGATGCTAAAGTGAATCACCAGTCACCTATGACAACACTTTTCATGATTGTTTGGAAGAACCAAAGCTGATTTCCAACCTAACCTGACATCTATTGCTTGTGTTGGGGCTTGGTATACAAGGGATCGGAATCCTCCTGCAAGTCTATAAGGTAAAAGTCTTGATAATTTTGGTTTCCTTCTCTTCTTCCTTTGGCATCCCTAAAAAAAGAAAAATAAAGATTGAGATGATTTCCTGAGAGGCAGAGGGAGAGGTACATTACCCATGACCCCACTATTCTAATTCAAAGGAATGATCACACATTGTGCAAGCGAGAGAGAGGTAAATTACCCATGACCCCACTATTCGCCTACACTTTGTCAGAAAAGACTACAAAAAGTAGAAAGATCAATAGGATGAACATTTGTTGTTCATTGGGATTGATATAAAAAAAAATTGGGATTCAGAGAAGGGAGATATAGGGAGAAAAGAAACCAGAATGAGAATGTCTGAAACTTGCTTGAGTTGAATCCAAGTGTTCCTTGATCAATACTCCCAAGGTAAAGCCTACACTTTTATTTTTATGCATAAATGAAATCAGTAGAGGGGATAGACAGACAAGATTGCTAAGTTGATTGGCTAGATTAATTTGGTTGCTAAGCTAGGATATGGTATAATGTACTTCTGTAGTTAGTAATATAAGATGTGGCATGCAACAAAGTCAAGGTGATGATCTTAAGTTAAGATTTGATTGAGTCCTTGCTGTTTTTAAACTTCTTCCAAAGACTAACTATTGTGTTTGCTTGAGGACAAGCAAAAGGTTAAGTCTGGGGGAGTTGATATACTATGGTTTTGACCCACTCTTAACTATGATATTTATATGATTTTATAATATATATATATTAGGTATGTTTTCAGGTTCAAGAGCATTTTGGAGTAAAGTGATGATTTAGGTGCCCTTATGAGCTTAAAGGAGAGTTTTTCCGAGATGACTATAAAGATCAGACAACAAGGTCGATATCCAGAGATACATATCGATCGATACACATTCTGTGTAATCGATCGACGATGCTTCCTTAGAAGATGACGAATTTAGATACTCCATCGATCGCTGTACGCCATGTACCATCAATCGATATGAAACGTGAAGAACAAGTTTGACTCGGCCTTGAAGCCCAAGTTCTCTCAATATTACAAGATTGCCGCTGACGAGTTTTTAACCTATTGGAACTAATATTTATAGTTATGCCTATGTGTTTTGGATATACATGCTTTTGAATGCTATACATGCTTTTGAATGCTATACATGCTTTTTATACCTTTACATGCTTTGTACCTATGAATGCTTTTTTTGTTCTTAGTTCTTTGATTTATAAAAGTATTCTTTTCATCTTATTCTCATTTTCATAAAAGGTTATAGAGGTCTAGATTTAGAAGAACACACAAAGAGATTTGTTGTTTAAAAGAATCAAGTGTTCAATCTTCTAATCTTATGAATTTCTATTATTACCTTGATGCTATGAATCAATTAGCCATGTCTGAGTAGTTTCACTTGTTAGATTTAGGGTTCAAATAGTTATGAGGGATTAGCCCCAACTATGGATTGTTGAGTTGTGATATTCATTATCCTGATGAACCCTAATGCTTACTCTAGAGTAGCTAACTAGAGTATGATCATGGAATGATTGATTTTGTTAATTATCATCCTGAAATCATCTGGTATAAGCTGAGATCCTCTAGGGAAGAGTGAGAGCCGGTCTATGATCTTGGTGAACACATATTCAATTCGATCTGAAGCTATATCGATCAATACTCCTATAGAGTAATCGATCGACGGAAACCCATAACGTCTGATATCGCTGTCAAACCATAGGTCGATATAGCCGGCAGTCAGATAAATGGACGAATCTAATAGCGATTGCTAATAGGCTTATCTAAGAGTTGAAGTTATTTAATATCTTGCAAGAAACTTATAAAGACATTTATAGCATTATAATCCTGATTATCTGAATAGCAACCTTGAATTTAACTACTTTCTTTTATTGTTTAAAACCTAAACAAATTCTCCTGAGAAACTCACCATTGCTCACAACTGCAATTTACTTTTAAACCTTAATCAACCTAGCATAATCACTAAGGATATATCTTTTGTGTTCCTTAGTTCCTTGTGGATTTGATCCCTAAGTACTACAATTGAACCTCTTATTTGGGAGAGTAATTCACTCCTTAAGGTAATTTGGGTGATATCAGCTCTCAATCTCTAAAGTGTCGATCCCTTATTCTAGGGTTTGGGTTCCCCTTCTATAGGTATAGATGTCGGCTTGCATTAGGTTAAACCCTTACATATTGGCAAATATGGAAGAATTCCCTTAATTGGAGAACTTCCATTTTATCCAAGGGCCGGCTTTTGGAGCAGAGGACGAGCCAGGGGAACCTGGATCCAGGGTCCGGGCCCTAGGTCCCTTTGGAGAAGGGGTCTAGAGGCCGGTGCCCAGCCCGGAAGCTGGAAGAATCTGGTGCTTGGATATTTTTTCCCAACAGTTTGCCCCTTATTCCTTGATTTCATCGATGAAATCAAGGGATAAAGTGTGTCTAGGTGGACCGTAGTTGCTTTATCTCAGCAGATTCTCCTTAAGTAAGACATCGCTCTAGGCGCCTATTCTCCAGGTCCTTGTTTAGGCCGGGACCGTGTTTAGGGCCATGAGTAAGTCACATTTCCCTTGGTAAAATGGCATTCAGTAGATATCTTCAGGGCCTGAGCCTCTTGGAGTCGATTGCGCGGAGTCGCGATCCGGTATATAACTTTCGGTCGGCGACGAATTTCCTTAAATTCTGCTGCAGGCAATTTTCCTGAGATGACTGATTTGGTCAGATCTTCTTTCCTTTCTTGAACTCGCGTCCGTATCATACCTATTCTTCTGAATCCCTAGGAGGTGGGATTTATTTTTTTTTTTAATTTTGAATGCTGGATCTTATCTTTTGCTTAAGATTCGGGAGTGGCTGTATCTTCGAGAAGACAATAACCGTGATTTCTTTAAATACCCATCCATTTCTCTAGACAACACCATTGTGATACCTTGCCATATTCTTCCAGCTACTCTTTTTGATCTGAGGATTTTCTTCTTCTTCTTTTGTAGAGCAATTTTGTTTTGTCGAAACGATCCGGTTCCTTAGTTCCTTTGACGGCTGAAAGGTCGAGTTTGAAGAGAAGAGTGGACTCTCCGATAGCTAAGTCAGAGCTCCTCAGATCCTTATGACGGATCTGAGCATGAGATTCTGGCTCCGAATCCTCTATCTTACGTCTCGCCGCCTTCTTTAATGGTGGGCCCCACATCTTCAGTGAAAGAGGATGATTTAGTCAAGTAGCGAAAATATTACCTAATTTCTTCTTCCGTCGTTCTCCGCATTCCTTATTCGTCTGAACGTGCTTCCATGGGTAGACCGAAGGAGATTGCCATTTGTGAGGCTTTCTTTGAGTCTGGCTTCAAAGGAAATATTTTGTCGTAGATTGCGGACCTCTGCGGCTTCTTCTCAATCTCTCATTCCCAACTTAATCCTCCAGCTTGGCGTATTCTCATTGCTCAAAATTTGAGCGATGAGGAATGCCTTCCTTTAGGCGTCAATGAATTGTTGTTCGCTTACAACCTTGCTCCGATCAATGGAAGAGAAGGTCGCTTTCATATTCGGCCTCGCAATGGTCTTCCCTTTGTAGAGAAACTTTCGAAAAACGACCGCAAGGGTCTATCTTTTGTGAAGAAGTGGTAGGAAAGATATGTATTCATGACCCTTCCCGGTTCCCACTATCGGTGGAGCTTCGTAGGTAAGATGAATTGATATCCTTGAATGATGACGGGATTCGCTTTATCGATTTTTCTTCCGTTGTTATTTTTGTAGGTGGAACTCATCTGGCCCGTGCGGGCGGGGAAGGCAATATTCTTAGGGCCCGAGCCCTTCCTCTTGCACGGCGTCGGTGGCCTATCCGTGTTGGGTCGTAGCAGGATTTAGAGTGAGTCTTCGTCTTTGATGTTGGTTATACTCCTTTTTCGCTTGCCTGACTTGGTTGGTGTTGACTGACTTTGTTTTAAACAGGCGGCCCGATAGAGGAAGACCTGATGGAAGCCTTTAAAAGGGCGGACGATGAAATTTAGGCGAGGAAGGGTGTCATCGCCCCGACCGTTTCGGGGGACGAGGTTATGATAACTTGAAGTAGTCGCAAGACGATGATTAAGAGCGAGGCTGTTTCCACTTTTCAGGGGAGAAGATCGAGGGGAAGGATGGCCGCTCGGCTGTCTCCACAGGCTTTTGATACTAAACACGCGACGGGGGTTTGTTAGATTTTCTCGGGGACCTGAACGCTAGGGTGTTCTCGCAAGAGAATGTCCCTCTTTTGGGAGAAGGTCCAGCAGAGGTGATCCTGGCGCTTCAAGAGAGACTCCTTCGGGTAAGAGCGATGTTCTTGCTCCTATTTTAGCCTCGTTATCGTGAGTCTTATTGGGTGATCTTTTCCGCAGGTCCTTTCTCTATTGAATCATTTGGGAGCTTGGTTTTCGAAGGAGGATGTGGCCTCAGTCAAGGAGGAAGCCAATGAGCTGTCTCGGCAGTTATCTGAGGAGAAAAGCAGGAGGGCGACGAAAGGAATGGAACTGCACGATCTACAGGCCAAGATCAAGGCGATTGAAGACACGGCGGAAACTTCCTCGTCGGAGGCTCTGGCGCTGGGCCGTAAGAACCAGAAATTAGAAGAGGCTTTGGAGAAACTAAGAGCTGAGGCAAAGATCTCAGAGGACGTGAAGGTGATGGCTGTGGACGGGGCGAAAATGACCTCTTGATGGGAGGTAATGCGACATTGGCTCGATGGGCGGGCCCACAGCTAGAACTTGCCCAGGGAGTTCGATCGGTACAAGGCCGTGGTTCTTTCCGAGGCAAAGTTCAAAGGCGTTGATCCTCCCTCTTTCACAGACGAACTAGCCATCCCTCCGTCTTCTGGCTCTGGCGGACCATGAGGTTTTAGTCTTTAACGCACTTGTCTTTGCTTCATTGTTTGAACTTCTTCGAGCCCTGAGCTATGTTGCTTTTGTGCACTTCATTTTTTAGCAATAATGTTTTTGTTTTCACGCATATGTTCGCCTGGGAGTCAGAACCCTGCTGATTTGACTAGCATGATAGGAACAAAATGTAAAACTCGTAGTTTTTAACCCTTAGGACCCGGGGGTCTTGGAGGATTCCTAGAACCCTGCTTAGATCTTCAGATCTTTTATTGGGCCATTCGTTCTCCTACTTAAACATGGAGACATGAGTATTTTTTAGGATGTGGAAACTCGTAGTTTCTAAATCCATAGGCTCATCGGCTGGGCTTGGATATTCTTGTTGAGCCTGGAGAGACTCGTTGTTTGACCCGAAGGTTTTTCTTGGGCCCTACGGTTTCTAGTTGGGCCCGGGGCAAGAAATGTAAAATTGAGGATTTTGAACACTGGGAACTCCGAAGTTCATGATTTAACCCTGAGGTTAGTTTTTGGAATTCATAAATCCAAGGCGATTGCTTGGGACCATGGGGTCTTTCCTGTACTACATGGAAACTTGTTCAGAACCTTGAGGTTACTGAGTAGATTCTAAGGTCCGTGACCTGGACCAGGAGGGTGAGTAGATAAGTGATGTAAAATTCAGGATTATGAACATCTGGGACCCGGAGGTTATTGTCTTCTAGATCGTATTCTGCCCCCCTTAGGTAGGCCACTACCGATCTCGCGTAATTAGGTATATAAAATGTAAAATTCGGAATTTTGAACATTTGGAACCCGGAGGCTCGCTGTCATCGGGATCGTATTCTGCCATGTTATGTTATTTTTGTGTAGGGTCGTTTTAGTACGACAGAACACTGAAGGTTTGTGTATGAACAAAGAGAAGCAAGGATATTTGTATGCAGCCAGGAGAAATCAAAGAGAAACAATAAGAAACAAGTAGAGAAAGGAGACGTATAATTGATTAATCAAACCCTAATTCTAGCCGCCTAGATCTAGTCTCTCAATCTCTAAGTACCGATCCCTTATTATAGGGTTCGGGTTCCCCTTTTATATGTGTAGATGTTGTGGGAACCGAAATTCACCCCTGTCGATTTTACTTAAGTTTAGGAATTTAGAGTAAACCCTAATTTCCCAGAGGACCCGGCTATCTGTGGAACCGCACACAAGCGATCAAGAACACGATACGAATAAGTAAAGATGTAAAATAAAACGAGATTGAGAGCAAGAATAATCTTATTCCGAATTCGCGTAAGAACGGTACAACCAGAGTATCCTTAGCTGCGTGAGCCGTCGGTGAGATTCCTAGTTCTAGCAATCTAAGATTAAAACCCTAGTTGAGACTCAGCTCGATAACAAAAACGGAAATATTCCTAAGTGCTAAGCTTTGGTGGTGAAAGCTCTGAAAACTCGTCCTTTTCTTTTTTTCCTCCGCCTTCTGCTTATATACTCCCACCTTACGCGGTTTAGTACTTTATTTTCGCCCGGATTCGAGTTTATCGAGAATCTTCAACTTATCTCGATCTTTCCATTTTTTCTGCGGAAATCTTCTATTTATCTTCAAATTTTACATTCATCTTCAAACTTGACATTCATCTTCAAACTTGACATTTATCTTCTTTCTGCAAGTAAATCGTCAAACCGTCATTGTATATTTGGGCTAGATTTCATTTAAAGTCGCAAGTGGACTTTTATCGCGTTTTTGGGCTGTCCAAGCCGTTTTACGGTAAGAATCATTTTACGATTTTAAACTAGATCATTTCCTGATATGATGCCGTTTTTATAAGATTTCTTGGGTTAATCGTAAAATTTAGCAATGTTCGATGTTTTGTTTAATCGTTGCCGTTTTCTACGATTAACTCGAGGTTTTTACTAAATACGTGCTTTTTACGATTTTTTCATAAAAGATCTCGAGTTTATCGTATAATCAGGCAACGTTCGGTGTTTCGTTTAACCATTGGCGTTTCATACGATTTACTCGAGTTCTTCCGAGAAAACAAGACTTTACGGTTTTATCGTAAAACTTGATTGATAAGATGGATCGAGATGAAACAAGAGACGTTTCCACCATGGTTCAGAACATGATCGAATCGAAAGACGTATGCCTTACTTCAAGGATGCGGGAGATAGAGGGTCAGGACAGTCAGCTCGTCGTACGGCGAGCCGAACAGGGTTGGTTTAGCCTGCCGTACGTCGAGCTGTTTTGAGGTGACCAGCTCGCCATACGGCGAGCTGGTCCGGGACCAACCAGTTCGCCGTACGGCAAGCTGAACCGGCTGGTTCGGCTCGTTGTACGTTGAACTTGGTTTGGTTGAACCTTCTCACGGTTTACGGTCGATGCGATTTTTTGCGGTTTTTCGCATAACTTGGGCAGTCGTGTAATCAGTGATTTTTCGTTTGTTCTTCCGGGATGACGATTTCCAAGTTTTCCGCGGTTTTCCTTTGTTCGGAAAGTTCTTAGAATTTGTAAAACAACTTCTCGTGTTTTATAAAACGTATTTTTTATTTTTGCTGAATGTTTTCGTCAGTCATTCCGTCATACCGATTTTGACCCCAACAGTTAGCCCCCTCCTCGTAACTCTTCTGGAAGTTGCGAGCGGCCGAGGCATTGGAAGGTAAACGCGAGCCAACCTGCGATCCCGTCGTCTCAGTGTGCATCAACAAGGCTTTTCCGGAGCGCTGCGTCGAAATTGGTGCAAACCTGAGCGAGACCTTAAAAACCGAACTCTTGACATGTCTGAAAGGCAACTCGAACATGTTTGCTTGGACTGCGGAAGATATGCCAGGAATCGACATTAACATCACATGTCATGAACTTAACGTTGACCCAACATCCAAAGCCGTCAAACAAAAAAGACGAAAACTGGGGCCAGATCGCGCCGAAGCGGTCAACAGCGAAGTCGACAGACTCCTCAAAGTAGGGTCAATCACATAATTTCGGTATCCTGACTGGCTCGCCAATCCTGTCGTCGTAACTAAAAAGAACGGAAAGTGGCGAGTTTGCGTCGATTTCACCGATCTCAATAAAGCGTGTCCTAAAGATAGTGGCCCAACGGCGAGCTGAACCGGTCCGGTCTGGTTTGCCATACGTCGAGCCGAACATCCCGAGCCTCGATCTCCCACGTTCCCATTTCAACGCTTACGTAATTTGACACGATCGTGTTCCGAACCGCGGACGAAATGTCTCCCGTTTCGTCTTAATCCGTCCTATTGTTCGAGTTTTACGATAAAAACCGTAAAACTTTGTTTTCTCGAAAAGAACTCGAGGAAATCATATAAAACGGCAACGGTTAAACGAAACACCGAACATTGCCTAAACTATACGATTTATTCGAGATTTTTGGTAAAAATCGTAAAAAATGTGTTCTTAATAAAAATGTCGAGAGAATCGTAAAAACGGCCGCGATTAACCGAAGAAAAAGAACATAGCTAAACTTTACGATTAAATCGGGGAATTTACTAAAAACAGCATCGGATTAGGAAACGATCTCGTATAAAGTCGCAAAACGGATTCATCACAAAACGGCTCGGAAGGTCCTAAAACGTGATAAAAGCCCATCTCGCGGTCTTTACGAAATCTAACCCGAAGATACGATAACCTTTTCAAGATTTACCCGCAGAAGGAAGATAAATGTGAAGTTTGAAGATAAAGAAAAGATTTCCGCGGGGAAAAAGGAAAGATCAAGATAAATGGAAGATTTACGATAAACTGGAATCTGGGCGAAATGAAAGGACCAAACCGCCAAGGAAGGGAGTATATAAGCAAGACGTATAGGGCAGAAGCAGGGAGACGAAAATCAGACCTAGAGAGGCGGCTGTTAGCTTAGAAATTTAGGACTTAGGCGTATAGACTAGTAAGCCGGATCCGTAGAACGTTTCGACGTCTAAACTCCGCGATTCTCTTTGTAACAGTTTTCAATCTCTTATTCAATAAAAAGCTCTCACGCAAATTCCTTATTCATTCTCTGTTCTTCATTATTGTTATTCACCCATATTCTGTTAACTCTGTCCGTTTTAGTGGTTTCCACAAAGATCCAGGACCTCGGGAAAATTAGGGTTTTCCCAAAGTTTCCGTATTTGACGAAAAATTGACAGTGTGGATTTCGGTTCCCACAACGTCGAGCTGTTTTGAGGCGACCAGCTCGCCGTACGACAAGCTGGTTCGTGGCCACCAGCTCGCCTTACAACGAGCTGGTCCGGAACCGACTAGTTCGCTGTATGGCGAGCTGAACCAGCTGGTTCGGCTCGTCGTACGTTTAACTTTGTTCAGTCGAACCTGCTCGCGGTTTTTTGCGGTTTTTTGCAGTTTTTTGCTTAACTTGGGCAATCGTGTAATCGGTGATTGTTTCTTTCGTTTTTCCGGGATGATGATTTCCAAGTTTTCCGCGGTTTTCCTTAGAATTTTATAAAACAGCTTCTCGTGTTTTATAAAACGTATTTTTATTTTTGCGGAAAGTTTTGGTCATTGATTCTTTCGTACCGATTTTGACCCCAACAGATGTCGGCTTGCATTAGGTTTAACTCTTCCATATTGGCGAATATGGAAGAGTTCCCTGGATGCAGGGTCCGGGCCCTGGGTCCCTTTGGAGCAGGGGTCTAGAGGCCTGTGCCCAGCCCGGAGGCTGGAGGAATCTGGTGCCTGGATACTTTTTCTCAACAGTTTGCCCCTTTATTCCTTGATTTCATCAACGAAGTTAAGGGATAAAGTGTGTCTAGGTGGACCGTAGTCATTTTATCTCAGTAAATTCCCCTTAAGTAAGGCATCGCTCTAGGTGCCCTATTCTCCAGGTCCTTGCTAGGCCGGGACAGTT